GATAAAATGGAGCTTTAAACACTTCAAAAGACTGTCACAGAAATAATTTGCACTGTCTTATGCGCTTACAAAGATGAAAATTAGCATAATGTGTTAATGTTGATAACAAAATTATTTTATCTGGTACCAATCTAAGCTCTTCTTTCCTTAGATGTTAGATGTGCTTGCAAAGAGAGTCACATTTCACACTGAAGGGTGTGCACGACATCAGTAATGTTATGTCAATTCCAAGAATGTTTAAGGTCATATCGGTTGATGGGGAATTTATTGATTAGGCCTATAATAGCAAATTGCATCAATTTATTTTGCAAAAACAAGGTTTCCAGCTTCAGAGGGGGGGGGGGCCACATCCCCTGTCCGCACAAGGGCACACATTGGCGCTAACACCAGGCGCGTAACAGGGGTCTTGGGTCAGAGTGGGTATTTATTTTCCCGGTTAGTAATTTACCATACACACCCCACCCCACTCCCCATACAGAAAACAATACGACATGACTTATATAGGCCACACACGTGTGTTTGAAACTAAACATAAGCATTTTCATCATGGTTTTATTTATTAAAAACATATTCTTTGACCATCAATACACATTGAGGCCCTTCTTTTAGGTTAAAACGATCTATCTTAAATTTGTCTTCCTTGAGTTTGGGACTATTATGTGTTTAAATAACTTAAAAGAATAAACCTAAAAAGCCCTAAAAAATGCGCGCGAAGCGTGCAAAATATTTTTGTGTTTTTAATTCTAATTTCGTCGGAATTGATGAAAACTCCCTAAAATGCAATTTATAGAGGAAACTGGCCTACCGTAACAAGAAATGCGCGCAAAGAATATGAGAATTTTAGGCACTTTCAGATGATGCATTTGTCAAGGGGTGGAGAAAGATTTTCCAAAGATGGATATTTTCCCCTTGTCCTCCGTTGTTTTTAATTCTAATTTCGTTGGAATTGATCAAAACTCCCTAAAATGTGCAATTTTTAGAGGAAATTGGCGCGAGAAATTTGAGATTTTTAGGCACTTTCAGGGGATGAAAAGGGCATTTATAAAGGGGTGGGGAAGATTTTCCAAAGATAGATATTTTCCCCTTGTCCCCCAGTGGTACGCCATCGGGCAGCATAGACCAAAGGAGTTACGACAGTTTTTGAAGTGGAGAAGGGGTTGCAGGGTGTTGTGAGTCTGGTCATTATGATATTCTTGTCTTTATTTTTCTCTTCTCTTTTTCTTTTCCTTTCCTTTTCTTTTCCTCTTCTTTCTATTTCCCTCCCTCTCCCCTCTTTCTTTTCTCTTATTACCCAGCCCGGTACGACGGCTTGGTCAGCCCGGTAAAAACCGTCAGGGGAGGGGAAGTTTTTCCCTCCCGCGCCTGTTACGACACTGGCTAACACGCCAATCATTCCCCCCAATGAAAAATACTTTTCTACGCCACTGAAGGTCACAGAGGTAAAATCCAGTAGCTGGGATGTTTTACCCCCACAATGTGTTCTACCACTATGCCAAAGGTCATTACTGTAGCATCTCAATAAACATATGTCAATGCCTAATAATTAACTGTATTTTTCATATTATTTGCCCAAAAATTTAATTTTGAAGAAATTCTCAGTACGCATTAGTTTTCATGAAAAAAGAATATTAAAGTAAATATAAATGTGTGTCTTCCGAAAAATTCGACATGAAAAATCATTTCAATACACCACAATATTACAGACATAGGCTTACAAGGTTACAAGGTGAAATCATATTTCCAGTAACTTAGATTTTGTACCCCACAATGTGTTGTACCACTATGCTACAGGTCACTACTGTAACATCTCAATAAACATATGTCAAGGCCTTATAATGAACTGCATTTCCCAGTAAATGGAAAAAGTTGTATTAGAGCAAATATAAATGTATGTCTTTTGAACAATTTGACACCAAATAATTTCTATAGACCTAAGCGTTGCAGAGATATGACCATTTGATAGTTTGTCCAAAAACATGACTTTTTTGAAAAATCACGATGGATTTCATGCAAAAAGGTGCATTAGAGCAAATATAAATGTATGTATTCTGAGCAATTTGACATAAAAATTACTTCATTACGTTACAGAGATATAGCAATTTATGTTTTTTTTCAATAAAATTATTAAGATTGAGGTCAAAGGTCACAGAGGCGAAATCAGATTTTTAGTAACTTGGTTTTGGTATCCCCGCATCATGCCCTATCACCATGAAGAGGGAAAATTTGTATCCACTCAATTTTTGTAGGCTTATGAAGTCCCGTAATGGAGTCTCCTGGAAATCGGTAAGAAGGACTCCCGCTTTCTGGCCCGCGATCTCGCGCAAATTCATGATGATATTTGCATGCTTTTACAATTGTTTACTACTAGGCCTAATACTAAATAACAAATACCGAAATCAAGGAGGCAAGCCTGTAAACTGATTCCGGATACTATGTTATCTATGTACCCTGTTGAGTACTGTCTTTAATTATAGGGATGATATGCGACTACCGGGAAATAGTTTAAGCATCAATAACAGCATACAGTAACTGTAAAATCCATTATACATTTTATATATCATTTCTTGATTTCCCTCTAAATAGAGATATTTAAAGACTACTTTTAGAGCAGGTCTTTAATTAGAGAGATGTACTGAGAGATTATCGGGAAACAATGGCCATTGAATAACATTTTTTGATAGAAATAAGTTTTAAAAACGTTATTCCACTAACAAAGTAGAGGAATGACATACAGTACTTCAACTACCAAAATATGCAACTCATAGATAACCACAAAATACACTTTTGTTAAGTATCAAATGAAATAATTTTACATGTTATAAACAGTGCAAATAAACAGTAGTTAAAGCATGTGGATCAAATGTGTGTTTGAATCACAAGTTCATGTATAGGAAAAGGGAGAGGCTTACTTTCTAACAAACTTAGCAATAAATGTTCTGCTTAGAGTTACTTCAGAGATACTATATATACATATGTAAATATGGCAATTATGCTAAGAATTAAAACGGCGTGTAATTGTGAGGGTAGGGTAATTATGGTAGGATTAAATGGTATTTCTAAATCCCACAAACCTCCCAAAACACACTGTAGAAAACCAAACAATTCAATTTTGATTGACTCACTTGGTATATCAATAAGAAAATTAAATATTCATAAGAACCTATTTTTTGGTTAAAATGTTGATTTTTTTGTGAAAAAATACTTGCAAATACACCACAAACCCCCAAACACACTGTGAACCCCATCCAAACCCTTTAATTATGATTGTAGAATTCTCTTTTTCAAAAAAAAAATAAATAATAATTTGATGTTCATATAAACTCATTGTTTGTGGGGTTTACCAATACCCGGATTGAATTTCTTGAAAATTGTGATTCCGCTTCCGCGAAATTGGCTCCAAATAAATTATTTTAGTATTAATAAATGCATTATTTATGTTGATTTATGGATTATGTTGTTGCTATTTTTTAAACATTTAAATGGAAAAAAAATAAAAAGTGTTTATTTTTTTCTATCTTTGAATATTTTATCATTGAATATGTAATTCCTACAAAAAGTAAAATATAAATGGCAATTTATTTGATGTTAGATTACTTTTTAAAAACTAAATAATTTCAGTTAAAAAAAATGCATATAATAATTTTTTTTAAATCATTTTTAATACAGAATTTTATTATTGGGGCCATTCTTACCTACCTGTCATTTGGGGCCATTTTTACCGGGGCCATTTTTCCCGGGGCCATTTTTTCCTGGGCCATTTTTTCCGGGGCCATTCTTACCGCACACCAGATTAAAAAGTGGTCAAGCCAAAGCCGGTGCGGTTCCGACGGTACTGATTGGTGACGGAAATACACGACCCGACAAAAAATGGCACGGAAGCTGTCAACTATTAATCATTATGGGAATTTGTTAGCAGGTCCCAAACTGTAAAACGTGCGAGGAAATCTAAACCCTAGTTTGACTCGCAGTGCTTTGAACTAAAACACAAGTCCGTTATTCGTACAGTAATTACTGTCACGATCCTTCTCCACACTTGGCGAATGAACACGAAGACCTCGTACGTAAATTTCAACGCTAAAAGAAGGTGGCATTCGATGAGAAAATGATTAAGAATCAGGTCGCAAAGGCGGAAGGAAGTGTTGACTGGAAATCGCGGAACACAGGAGCTGCAGCAGTCCAGCTTCAGCCCCCCCCCCCCCA